GGAAAAGGGGGGGGGGGGGGGGGGGGTACTTGGAAAAATGTCGGTAATCGTGCCCTGCAACAAGACCGAGAGAGAGAGCAGCACGGCCCTAAAAGTTTACTGTCAAATCGTTTCCAAGGAAACAAACAAGAAACAAAACAAGCTACATAAATAGACCAAATAAAAGGGACTACCGTGATGCCTGCATGCAACACTTAGGAATCAAACCCAGAAACCCATGCGGGCATCTATTTATTGATCGCTACACCCGGTCCCTGCTGCTCAGCTCAGTCCGTCGAGTTTGGTTTGCAGGCAGGCAGTATCGTCGATGCCCCCCCCCCCTCCCACGACCTCATCTCGACATTGTCCATGGACAAAATCTGAGCGAAAACGCCGATAACTCACTCATGGAGACCCAAAACCCCTCCCACACACTGTACTCAACGCTGGTCACGCCACTCTCTGGGAGGGGGTGTTGCTTGCACTCACGCGCCTGCTGCAACTGACTGCCACATCGGATAAATGCCCACAAACTGCTCTTGTCAAGCTACCACCGCTGGACGTAGGGGGGGGGAGACACCTACTTGAACAACACCGACCAACGATGCTCACAAGGCGTGCTCTATACGGAAGGAACGCTAAACGTGACTCAAACTGTTCCGAAATCAACGGCGTAACAGCCCGGCCAAGACACAAAAACAATCAACGACAAACGAAAAAAGACGACCAACCATGAGAAAAATACCCGAAGGTAAGTGAGTATGCAAAAAAGAGACGAGCAAAAAGAACAAAACAAGGGTTGTTAGATGAAAAAAAAAAATGACAAAACGCATCATGGGGCAGACTACAATAGAGGAAAAGAAGGAACGTTGACAACCCTCCAGAACAGAACAGGGGGGGAGGGGGGGGAGGGGAGCCCCCAAGAAAGATTCTGCGCACCACTGCTAGACGCGCGTCATCAGTCAGCCGCCGCAAATGTCCGTGGTTTGATGAATCAGGACGTGCCGTACTTTCCGTCCACAGTCCCATCCGCCGCGTCCACAAGGCGGAAAACCTGTAACAAAAGAAAAACAAAGTACAGACGAGAGGAGCGGGGGGATCCAAAAGGGCAAATGATTAGTATCATCAGGATCACAAAGGGGGCCACGGCGAATGATACCAAGAAGGCGCCGAACCGGGTAACGCAACGCGGTCCCCTTCCCTTCCATAGCAGACGGGAGTACAGTACATGTATACAAGGGCGCTTCGCGGCGTAACGCTTCGCGGTCGCCGCCACGCTCGTAGGTTGAATGGCGATGGCAATTGTGTGCGGGTGTGTGGAGTTTTGGAAAGAGAGGTACGAAGAGGAAATGCTGCCATGAGGAAAAAAGTCGATTGTTTGTTCGAAGAGCAGAGATGCACACCATGAATAAATTCATACTCTATGTTATGCGACAGCCGGAGGACAGAGAGTATTTATTTACTCGGAGGAAGAAAATGTTTTTAAGAAACAAAGGCTCACTTCACTTTCCACGAAAAGCATAGGAAAATAGGGTTTAAGTAATTTACAATAAATAGCTCAACCTCTGGGCCACACAACAGAAGAAACGCCTCTGACCCAATAAGAAAACAGAGGAGTGACCCCTAAAATACTCTACTATTAGTAAGACACGAGGGGCTACGGGGGAGGGAGGGGATCGAGTGAGTGAGTGTGTCGATCGAGTGAGTGAGTGAGTGTATCGAATAATAAAACGTGAGAAGGATACTATATAATACACCAAGTAAACAGCTTTTCTCTCTCTCTTCCCCCTCTTCCATGTGCTACCCACACCCTCAGCGAGACGTTGTACAATTGTAAGTAGCTGAACAAATTTCGCTTCTTCTAGGATGTGTGGTCTTCGTATGTTGTACAATATGTGATATGATGTACAGCCGTCGGTGGTGAGAATCGGGGTTGGTTGAGACGGGAGGCGAGGAAAAGCAACACAAATCATTACACGGTAGTTTTTCCAGCACGTTGTGCGTAGTAACAAAAGCAGAGAAAATGGACAACTTCTTGCCGATTTATGAAAAAATGGCAACAACCCACAGCAGCAGTGTAACGTTGCTATAGGCTCTTCCAGAGGGTTTTGGGAGTCAGATGACTGTAGAAGTTCGTGTGTTGGTGTGTGTTGGACGGATGCGGAGCATGTCCCTGTAATAACCGCTCTACAACAAACTGCTGCTGTAGTGCGGTAGGTAGCCAGAAGATATTTACTTCCGAAAAAATATATAAAGAAGTACTTCCTCCATGAAACGGAGGGAACACACAGTAATTTCATCATGTTTTTTTTTCTCGGGCGGGTGTAGTTTTGCAGACAGCTGTGCGCACGACACCGGCCGCTAGCCCCCCCGCTTTTCGCCGGGATCGAAAGGGAGACGCACTACAGCAGTAGAGTACCTTGGCTCACGTCATGCGGAGAGTTGATGGCTTGGTTGGCGTGTGTGGTAATAAGGGTGTGTAGCGTGTAGCCAGCGCACACCCACCGCGTCAGTCAGCCGCTTGCCGAATGTATGAACGGCCTGCACTGTCAAGAAATCAGGGCGTGATTGGTGGATCCATGGTAGGTGTCGGAGACGCGACTTTCTGCCCTCGCTAGCGCTGCACGCAGTCCGCCCCGAGAGCGCGCGGCACGCCGGGAGAGCCCTCGCAAGACAGGGCTATCGGTAGGTGCAAGTCTCGCGTCGAGGCGAGGTCTACGGGCGGAGAAACCGCGAAAAAAGGGCTCTAGGCTCACGAGAACATCAGGATTGCGTTTCCTGCAGTTTCGTGAGCCCTCAGCCCGTAGGAAACCCGTCTATAGGTCTATCTCGAGATCTCGACGTACACATGCACGTGTGTACATATCAGCGTCAGAGGCCGTGTAGACGCAAGCAAGGCCACAACTACAGCAGTAGATAGAAATCACTCGACGGCCATTTCGTCCATCACCATCGTCCCCGTGCCATCACGTCTACCCGTACGTACCCGATACCCCCCCCCCCGCCCTTGTCTATGTGTCACCTCCGTCTGCGGTGTTTGTGGCAAAAAAATGTTGATACGTGACGTCATGATCGACATGGTTGTTGTGATTCGACTATTGATACATGACGTCATGATGGACATGATTCGACCACGTCATGACGGACATGAATGATTCGACTATCGATACGTGAAGTTCGACATGGTACACTTCGACTCCTGGCGTCATGATCTACATGGTTCGTATGAAACACGACTATAACACGGATGCGTGACGTCAAGATCGACATGTTTCTTTTCATGATTCGACTAGACGTGTGACGTCATGATCGACATGGTTGGTCTGATTCGACACGACGACATAGACAGACAGACAGACAGACACACGGCCGTAATGACCCATGTTCTTCATGTCCCTCCCTCCCTCCCACTCACCTCGAAGAACTCGTTGATGTCGATCGAGTCGTTGTTGTCCATGTCCATCACGCCGAGGATCACGTCAATGTTCTCCAGGTACTCGCCTTCCCCGGCCTGCTGGTTCAGCAGCTCGCACCCCTGACCAAACGAAAAATAAATAAATGTGGGAAAAACAAGGACCGCAGGCGCACACGTCAACCCCAGGAGAAAAAGTGTTCAGCATGTCACCACCTTGGGTCACCCCCCTGGATGCCCGAAATCAATGTCCCGAAGGGAAACATTGCACACCAGTAATACGAAATCAAGAAAAGTGTTGTGTGCGTTTTCGTTGCATCTCATCTTGTCTCTGGCTGACACCAGTGTACACACATTTCGGTGTGGGTATTGATGCATTAGCCGGTATTACACAGGAAGAGGGTAAATAACACAGGCTGGCTCGTTGTCATCCTTTACTGGGCGAAATAGCTCCGACCGCTGTACCTCTCTCATCATGTCGCTCCATGCCATTATCAAAGTTGGGCAAAAAAAAGAAGCGCCTCTGCCTCACGAGCCCTGTGCGACTCCTCGCGGCTGATTGAGCCGTTTCCGTCCGCGTCCAACAAGCGGAAACATATGGCCTGATAGAGCCGTTTCGTAAAAAACAAACGCCTCTTCCTCAACTCACCCTGTGGAACTTCTCGCGGCTGATTGAACCATTTCCGTCCGTGTCCTACAAGCGGGAAAATATGGCCTGATTCAGCCGTTTCATTAAAAAAAAAACGCCTCTGCCTCACTCACCCCGTGAAACTCCTCGCGGCTGATTGAGCCCTTCACGGCCGTGTCCAACAAGGTGAAAAATATGGCCTGATTCAGCCGTTTCATAAAAAAAACGCCTCTGCCTCACTCACCCTGTGGAACTCCTCGCGGCTGATTGAGCCATTTCCGTCCGTGTCAAAGAAGCGGAAGATGGCCTCCAGCTTTTCGCGGTCCGCGTACATGGCGTCGAACATAGCGACGTTCTTGCCCACGCCCTTGCTGGCCCTCGCCGACAGCTTCACGTGGAACTTGGACATGAACGCTCTGAAGAGGCCCAAGATTTGGGCGAGAGAAGAGAGCGAGGGGGGGGGGGAGTCATCACGAAAGGGGCAAGGAAGAAAAGAAACACATTGCAAAACAACACGGCCGTCATGGGAACTGCTCATATATCACGACCATCATACAGTGCAACATGCATGTTAACTACTGCGCTATTAAGTGGTGCAATATGCAACACCAACATTATACGTATGGTGCAATATGAATGTCATGTACTAACCTCCAGTTAATCTTGTCCCCTTCGCGGTCTTCCTCGTCCACGATGATATTCAAGATCGCCTTCCAGGAGATCTGCAAACCCGTCACCTGCAACAACAACAACAACAACAAAACACAACACCACACACGCACAAAGTTGAGTCCACCAAAAAGCGACAGCAACACACCATAAATATATACGGGCCTGACAGCTCTACACACGAGATAGACACAGACACCGCCCAAACGGGCAGTTCATTCATGACCTGCGCGCTCACGACAAAAAGTATACAAACCTACCCGATGTTGCCCATGGGCTGAATGAAAACTACTTTCTCCGGTATAATACAAGCACCACGCGCACCCACTCGCGACTCACGCCGACCAGTGAGACCTATTATGGTCAGTCACATCATCAACAACTAGAACGCCTAAACCCACAGCCACTCACCACCCACGTCAACCAATGACCTGGTCGCATCAGCGACAGCTAAAACACCCGAAGTCACAGCCACTCACGACCCACGCCCACCATGTTACACCAGCAACAATGCAGAAAAAAACGATCACTGACGACTCACGCCGACCACGACCTGGTGATACTACAATATACTAGAGTACATACCAGCAGCCAACGACGACAAGACACCCCTCATGATAGACACATGATACCCAAAGCCGATGCAAGGGACTCACGTTGTCCATGACCTGGCACCACTTGTCCTTGGTGACGAAGCCGTCGCCCTGCTTGTCCACCTGGGTAAAGGCGGCCGTAAGCGCTCGCTTCTTCCGGAGCACCAGGGATGACAGGCCGCTCTGACGTCACACGTGACAAAACAAACAAACAAAAAAGACGCCGAGCACACGTAAGGCTTGTGTACCGGAAAAAGGCGTTTTTTTTTGCGATCTACCGTAGATGGACAAAAAAAAATTCCACTCTATTCCAGAATAATAACCAACACATTTCGATTTTGATACACACTTGGCGGGCGAGGGCGCGGCCAGTCTCCGGCCCAAATCCCAAGCAGTAACTGTGGTGTGGGTTAACAAGGAAGCAGAAATAACTCACCCTCAACAAAATGAACCAGATTGGGGGGAGCTCAGAGGATCTGCCCCCGCTACATGTAGTGTCGGGGGATCGGGGTGCGGGTGCTCTCCCTTAACTTACGGTTTCATAGGCACCGTAAGGTTAGGTGCTGCTGAGGGTCTCGGGGGGAATACAAGCATGTTCGTGGCCATGGCAGAACGACTACACACCATGCCTTGCCAAAACCACAAAAAATCAGAAACATGGTGGTACTCCGCACAGAAAACGAAAAGAGATATGTAAGACTACAACCAGTCCTTTGCCAGACGTTCCACGATGATACGTTTTCATCTAAACCGACTAACCTGGTTGGCCTTGAGCAGATGGCCGTGGTCCTTGTCGGCAGCCGTGAGCTGGTAGTCAAACACGGTGTAGTGCACCTCCGGGGACGTGGCCCTGAACAAAAAGAAAAAAAAAATGCAACCAAGACATGGTGACGTCAGAACCTTCAAGTTTCAGGTGCTGTACATCGACATCAACAGCTGGTACTCCTGCATGGTGTAGGTGCACCTCGGGGGACGTAGCCCTTAACAAGAACCCAAGCAAAAAAAATGAAATTTAATCTTGCCGTGAGAATTTGAGGCGCTGTACTTTACATGAGAGAAGATCTAAGCCAGAAAACAAAACAAAACATCGTGACTTGAGCACCTTGAAATTCAGGTGCTATACAACATAGGTCGACCGGGATTGACTGTATGTACGAGCTCAAGGGTTGAGTTCATGCGTTGCGTTCCAGAATGTATGCATACAGGAATGCGGGTCTCACCAGGTAGACGCTGGAGGGACCTACCTCGATTTGTCCATCATGAACGGTGGAACTACGGGTTATTTACCACAAGAGAACAACAGGGCGACCGCAGCCTTACAAAAAGTAGTATCATCGCGCTGGTGTTTCCATCCTCAGTCGAATCGCACGCGTCCCAGCCTTTTGTATCGTTCGGAGAAACTCCGCCAACGAACTTCACTGGTCATGTGTAGGCTAGACGCGTCACTCGCCAAGACACGCGAGAGAGGCTATGTCAACACCACCACCGATAAAAACGGCGCGACACACGCCTCCTGCGGCGACGACGCCTATAATGACAACACTGCGAAATAGCAACAAACACGCCACGCATCAATACATCAATACACAACACCGTCGTTCACATGACAACTAAAAGTTTGACTTAGATATCACAGGACATGGAGAACCTCAGTGACAACGTTCGACAAAAAAAAAAAAGGAAGCTGAACAAATAACACGAGAAGAGCACAATGGATAGAGATTAATTCGTTTCGTTCGTACTTTAGTGTAAAATACATATGCATATGATACAATCAGAGAAAGACTACCCCTTCGGACAATACCACAGTCGAACGGGGGTGGGTCGAATTTTTTTCAGTGAATGGGAGAAAACCGGCTGGATACTGAGTAGGTTAAAGCCTACACTCTTTTTTAGTGACAGCCATGAGTTTGCGTAAAAAAAAAAAAATGAGGTATGAACGGATGAGGATGCCTCACCTTATCCCCCCCGCGGCGAAGCTGTCATCAGTCTCGTTGAGACTGAACCGCATCGTGGCCCCCTGGTTCATGCTCCCGCCGTAGTTCGAGGCGGAAAAGATAGTCGCGCAGCACCCTGCCAACGTGAAAACCATCGTCGGTCGCCGCCGTACGGATGTATGCATACGAGAGGCACACACACGTGCAAGCGAGCGGCCGTCGTGTCCGAAGAATAAGACTTATAAGAGAGGGTGTGGTCGATTCTAAATGTAGTACTGTAGGATCATGAGCACGTGGTACGTGGATACGTAGTGGCCACTAACCGCCACCAGTCGTTTTTTTTTGCTCGGTTTGTATGTCCGTACGGCAGGTATCGGGCAAACGTGCACACGCAACTACGTTAATTCCGCGCAGGAGAAAAACGTTGTGCGTCGCGCAAACAGCAAAAAAATAAAATAATACAAGCCACACAACTTTCACAATAAAGCCACACAACTGTTCACAATTCAACACAAAACAACCGATATACCGTGCAAAAAAAAAAGGAAAGACAAAGAAGAAAGCTGAATAAGTTCGTTGTCGTAGACCGATCAAAACCAACTGCAACGGAAATGAGTTATTGAAAAGTTTATTGAAAAGTGCTTCACGTAAGAGAAACAACACCAAATGCTTCCCTACCGACCGGACCGGGGTCACGAACGAACTTCTCGCGTATGTAAACCAAAGTACAAGTTTGGCCTCACCCTCCAACGAACAAACACAGCTTTTCCTTCTACTACAATAAGGCAATATATGGTATGGTACCATATAAGTTTGGCCTTACCCTCCATGTCCTCCTCGAAGGGCAGGTCGAAGCCCTCCTCCACGCACTCGTGGCTCCGCACCACCATGTCCAGCCCGTTCTCCTCGAGGAAAGACTTGGTCGAGTCGGGGCCGAACAACACGCCCGCCCCTCGTGGGTTCTGCTGCGGGTTGGGCAGGCTCGGCGACAGGTCTGGGTCGCTCCACAAGGCGCAGTGCATGATGGTGCGGAGGTCCTTCTGGCGCCTCTGCGGGGGTCGTATTTAGTGTTTTTGCAAGCGATGGAGGGGGCGGGGGCGGGTTGCAGAAGCACTCTGGGCGAGGCGGGTGAGAACAGGTTGCATGTGTGGTCCAATGCTGTGAGCGCTGATTTAACACGACGAAAAGACAAAAAAAAAAAAAAGAGACTCAAACCCAACCAGAAAGAAACATAATTAAGAAAAATGTTCACACAATCACAGAGAGAAGTCGAAAGGGATATGTCCAAGTCTCTGCAGTGGTGTGGGAAGAAAAACCGGTTGGACGTTGGGCTATAACTTGAGTGAATGAAAAAGCCTTCGTGAATTATTTTCCAAATATGAAAAGCAATTATCAATACAAACACAGAAAGACTACCCGTTCTTCGAGAAATACCACAGACAGTATATACTTGAATACAGTATAGCCTTACCTCGGCTTCGGGCAGATTACTCTCGTCCTGGCGGTCTTCTTCACTCCTAGCCGGCACCACGTAGTCCAGCCTCTCCACCTGACCAGGCCAGATCC